CAAAATCGTTAAAGTACATAGTCCTAGAGCACACTAGCACATACATATATACATACGAACATGTGTGTGCATGTAGGATGTGAGGTAGGCAAACAGGCGGGGTGGAGGGAAAGCAGTTTGGCAGGAATAACGGCAGGTAGAAAAGTAGGTAGGCAAACAGCATCGCAGGCAGGTTAGTAGATAGGTAGGTAGGTAGGTAGGTAGGTAGGTAGGTAGGTAGGTAGATAAGTAAGTAGGTAGGTAGGTAGGTAGGTAGGCAGGGAGTTAGTTAAGTAGGTAAGTGGGCCTAGGTAGGACGGTGCCTCTCTCGGTATAGTGAGAAATTATAGTAGCCCATCATATTCATAGCGTTTCGCATTTATTAAAACGAACGAATGTACCATAGTACTCACGGGAAAGCCCGGGAAGCTAAATCGAACCCTGCCGGGCGCCACCAAATCGAATTTTTTTTTCCGCAGAAACCTCCACAGAGGTATTTGCAATAGCTTCTCAAATTTGAATGACAAACTAATGAAATGTTTGGTAATGCTTAAACAAACTCACATATTCGTTTGTGAGGCGCGGGTTTGTCCACACTGCCGCCTAGACGCACCAAGGCGTACTGTATGAAAGCCTTGAGTGTACGTTAATAAACCTCTGTAATAGTGAGGTAGAACCCACATCGGCATCTGCCCACAAGTTAGAGACACGTCCCTTGGCGCTCCAGGGAGCCACTGGTTACACTACCCCAGGGGCGCTCTTTTTTCCGTTTAATTGTCAAATGTCGTGTGCCATCGTGTCCCTATTGTAGGGTGCTCTTTAAAAAGAAAGTAGGCGCTCCCGGTAGAGCCCGGGCCGCTCGTTGTCGCCAACTGCCAGGGTACCGGCGGTCGCTCATTATTCTACTTAGTGAACAATTGTATTTGCCCATCTAAACCGTAGTATCTCCCTGCGAAGCTCTTGGCCGCTCTGGGTCACTCGGAGCTGGCGGATCGACCTGGTGTAGTTTTACCACTGAATCTCAGAGGCGTAACGTCCCTTTCCGGCGCCCGGGGACAAACTATCAATCTGGCGCCCTTCTCCCCCCCCCCCCCCCGCAGTGGACAAACTTTCAATATGCCCCCCCACCCATATTTTTTAAAATATTTATAATGCAAAACTGTAGCTAATATGAGCTTTTAATTTTTCCAACCCATTTTGGCGCCCCCCCTCGCTACGCCTCTGCTGAATCTAATAGTACCTATGACCGCAATTGATGAGATAGCCGCTCTAGATTCTGGGCTCATAATCGTATAACGAGAAAAATCGAACCTTTCCAGGGTGCCACCCTTAAGAATTTTTTTTTCCTCGAAACCCTTTTCACCAACTCCCAAAAATTTCATGGCACTCGTACGAACAGTGTCAATTTATTTTTGTAGAGAAAAGTCGCATCGCTTCCTGCCAGAGACCCCAGACACCGACAGAAGGGGGGGGGGGGGGGGGGGGGCGCCAAAAGCGGTAGAAAAAATCCTCATTCTTCAGTGAAATTTAAGAAAATAGATTTATACATGACTGATTTCCTGAATTGTTGTATGTGTATGTAGGGGATGTAGGGGTGGGCGCCTTTTTGGCAGCGTTTGAATAGGGTTGACACAACATTGATAGTTCGCCCCGGGCGCCGGAATAGGTTGCTACGCTTCTGCTTCCTGCTAGGGCGCCCCCCCTTGCGAAATTAAAAAAAAAATTTGCGCAGTAATCTCAACAGGACTATACTCAAAATCTTCACAGTGTTTCTTCCAGACATTTTTCTCCGGGGGCGGACTAAAATTTCCGGGGGGGGGGGGGGCGTGCGGACAATGTTAAAAGTATATATTATTTTCTAGGCCTATATAAATTCCATTTCGTTCGGGGGGGGGGGGTCTCTGCTCATATATTAAAATCTGTATTATACCATCCATTCAAATGCAAGAAAGCTATAACTATACTATATAAAGTACGAGCCGGCCCGCGGCATAACATACGCCGCTATTTAGTTATTTCTAATTTTCAATAATTCATAATTTGTGAATTCGACAGTACCAACGCTGACACTGAAAATATTTCTTTAAAACACTATAAGTAGCTCGTTAAGGACCATAACCCCCCCCCCCCCCACTTCCTTCCCCCCCCCCTCCCCCCACCCACCCTACGTTTAAAATCGTTGGCTCTGCTTGTAAACATTTAGAGTGAACACAGCTCATTAAAACCATGTAGGGGTGGGGAGGTAGGGAGAGCGTTTGCAGCTTGTTTTCTAACGGCTCGAAGAGGAGAATTATATATATAGATTGATTGAAAACGAATATGTAAATAATAGTGTAGTAACTTTCATTTTGCTTTTATACAAACTAATTATAACAAATATACAAAACATGTTCATATAATCATGCAGGGGTCTCCAAACTTTTCAGACCGAGGGCCGGATCAAATATCAATTCGGGGGCCAGAGTTTTTCAAGGCATATTTTCGGTGTTATGGAGCCCCCCCCCCCCCCCCGAAAAACGTCCACCACCCAGCCCCCCCCCCCCTCCCCGCCAATAAAATATAATTTATATATCAATATATACAAATTTCAAGTGCCGATGCCCCCCCCCCCCCCCCACCCCAAGAGAAAAAAATCTGAAAGAAACACTGTCGGGGCCGACAACACACTCGAGGTCCAAGTTTGTTCTCAAATTATTCTTCACGTATTCTATATCTATGGTTGAGCCCATGTGACCTTAATTCACCATCTTCACCACAGGATTCAGTACACTGCGAATGTCCATATATTTAGCACTCAAAGCTTGCTGATGGATAATAGAGTGCAGGAGCATTGGTTGTAGAATGTTTTTCTCATCCGCGTGTCCAACCAAGCCTGTCTTTATGCAACTAATGTACTTTTCACCATCAACAGTCAGGTAACTGAGGTTAGTCCAGTCCAAGTTATAATCAGCAAATGTTTTATTTAACTCTCCGGTAAAAGTGCCATACATATTATGTAGTGAAGCTAGCTAGTGTGTTATGTTCATGTCTTCATCCACACCCCTAAAGAACACAAACAGTTAAGAGGTGGAACAGCTTTCCAGCGACTCATGCATTGCAATTAAAATATAGTGAAACGTGCTTGCATTTCGAGTCACGATGTTCTCACTAATGTCTGCAACATGTTGGGCAATGGTATTTGCACCCAAGGCTACATTTTCAAATTGTTATAAATTTTCTGGGCAAAGTTCTTCAGCCACCTCTAATAAACATTTTTTTTCGTTGACAAAAAGATCTCCGCGGGCCGGATGAGAGGACCTTGCGGGCCGCATCCGGCCCGCGGGCCGTAGTTTGGAGACCCCTGACTGATGTTAAGTACAGTTTAAATTAAACTAATGTAAAAACTTAATTTACTGTACACGAATACAAAAGCTGTCTTGTACTATGATACGTAAACATGTCATTAAAAATAAAAAGTATAAAATATTTTTCTAACAACATTTAATTGCATTGCTTGTTTAAGTATTCTAATTAAGGTAGATTACAGTTTAATGCTGGACGAGTCTGCCTTGTCCATAAATAACAGAGCTAAAATATGTTCAGGATCTCTAGATTATGGTTGGGGTTAAATAGTGTTGAAATGAATGCCATTGTGTATACAAAATGTACAATCTTACAAAAGACCGATGGTTCCAAGGTTTATACGCATTGTGTAGATCAGGAATATCACTGCGATATTCAATAAATATGTTGTTTTTTTTTTGCCTCGAGTGTGAGGTATTTAATTATAGTATATAATTATACATTTACTTTATTAATTAGAAATAAATATCACCAGCAGAAGTATTGTCAATACAAATGTAGCAAACTTTTTTCAGATTGTACGGTGAAACAAAATAATGAAAGAAATTTGCAACTAATTCTTTAAAGAAAAAAATGTATATTGTATATTGCATTTCTTTTAGGACACTAAATCTACACTAAACATACATACAATGCAAACTTAAATTATTATATTATTACAAAAGGAAACAATTTATTAATTCAGCATTTTTCTTAGACTATTTTGGTAAGAGAATCTTTTCTTTTCGTTAAGTATTTAAATGCAATATGTATCAAACTGTTAAACTGATCCAACTGATAAAAAAAAATCTGATCTAAAATTATTACGAAAATCACTGTTGTCCTCTTTCTTGTGGACCCTTGTAGAGCTGAGAGACACAACCACACCTCTCTCTTTTTATACTTGGTTTTGGGAGATTCCCCAAAGTTGGGTCCATGACATTCTGCCTGCTTGTGCTTTGTTGGTTTCTGATATTTTCCATGTTTGTTTTGGATAACAAACTCTCTTTCCTTTGGGATTCAAATCCAATACATTCTAAAAAAGAAAAGCTACACTAAAAGTCATTTATGAAATAATTACAACTATACACTGCTCTTTTTGCACTAAATTTGTTAGTTTCATTTTCTTTTGCACTGCACTAAACTTACAACAAGAAGCCCCTAACATCATGTTTGCTACCTTGTAACGATATATTATATAGGTATAAAGACTGGTGGTCAGGGGTGTTCATGCTACCCAGGTAAATAATAAAAAGTGGCCATATATAATTTTAATAGTAGAACTGCAGTTCCTTGCTGCCCAATAGGATCCTTTACAATATGAGTTCACTTATATGTGTATATATATATATATATATATATATATATATATATATATATATATATATATATATATATATATATATATATATATATATATATATATATATATATATATATATATATATATATATATATATATATATATATATATATATATATATATATATATATATATATATATATATATATATATATATATATATATATATATATATAGTTACCTGTGTTATATATGTATATTTTTATAAACAAAAGTGAAAAAAAGACCTTGTAATAAAAATAAAATAGTATGTATATAAATATTATAAACCCCTTACCATATGCCTCTGAGTAAAGAAGGTGCCAGACAACTTTTGAGCAATTTCATCAACTATCATTTCAGAGTGACCCAGAAGTAATGCTTGTGGTCTGAAATTATTTTACTAATATCAGTAAAGGCATTAACTACACATGCTGATCATTAAATGCAAGCAAAAATTACAAAATGAATATTATTATTCACTTTGAAACAATGTAAACTTACAGTTATTAAGTGTTAAGAACATTTAGTAATCTTCTGGTGTAGCCAGTATTTGGTGAAGTATCAAGCAGTGGAGACCTTATAATTTATTAAAAGATTGATATATCTCCAGTGGGCTGATTGATACACACAACACCTGGAGGCCTGAAAAGAAATGGCATTTTTGTTATTAAATATAATAATAAAATGAGTGAGTAATACAATAAATGATAGCCAAATTATATACTCCATTTTTAAGACTATTAATAACAATGTACTAATTGTGGACAATACATCAAACCCAAGCCTAATCCTACACAAAACTCCAAAAATGATACTATCATTTTATAGTACATAAGTATCATAAGAATGTCTAAAAATGTCAAGTTCCCTTTCTAGCGTGTGCCAATAGGACAAGGTATGTACATTATCTCTGTTTATTTGATCTCTGTATATAAAGGATTGTGTAGTCAGCACTATATCTAGCCACCTATTTATTTCATAGTCTTAAATCGGGTATATATCAGAGTTAGATGAACAATTGAATGTACTACTAACTTGGCTTTATGTTTAGCAATAGTGTCCTAAACCATTTGCCTACTCTGTCCTCTATATGATAATATGAGTAGTGTTGATCAAGTAGGACTTAAGTAGTACCATCTTATCACTGTTGGTCATGAAATTAAGTGTTGCTCTGATATTATTCTCTCATAGGAAGCTGTAACAGTAATAGGAATTTGAATGACAATCTTGAATCAATTTAGAATTCTGGTAGACTAAGTTAATTTTTTTCAAAATGAATACCAATCAATAGTATCAAAATACACTGTTTGTTTAATTAACATGTTGAAATAAGTTCTATAATTGTTTAATTGTGTCTACTGTTCCTCTCTCTCTCTCTCTGAATTAATAGTAAAGACAGTTTCAAATCCTTACACTAATATCATTAAAATTTTTTTTTTTTTTAAAAAGTGAAAGTGAATGATTAATTATTAATTTATTAACCCCTTAATGCCTGAATTATGTTCCAAGCGTGTAAAAAATTATTTGTGCTGATTTTCTCTCATCATACTGACACTGAATTTGAGGTATATAGTTGTTTTTGAATTTTGACTTATTTTTGATGATAATTACGGTATGTCGCGAAAACGCGACATCAGGCACTTATGGACCAAACAGTAATTTTTTTTTTTTTTTAGTCCGGGTCATTTTAACATTTTTACTGTCACATGTTTCTCTAAATATCCATGCACAAACAATAAAATATCACAAACTGAACATACGGGCATGCAAGGAGATGTAGAATCACTTGCAAAACTCATGAAAACTATATTTTATTAGCTCAGACATAGAGTTACATAACTCTGCTGCACCTGCTCACTGACTAACTCTTATGAATAGGTATTTTGATGTCTTGCTGTTGTAATTCTACTACATTACAGTAATACACTACATATGTAAGTACTACCTTCAATGTGTAGAGCCTTAGTTGTCCCCGGTTACGTAATTTTCGTGAACTCTTATTCAAGGTCAACCAATAAAGAAGCATATTTCTCATTTGACCTATATTTGCTATACACACAAAGCACGTGAACAAATACTGTCCTAAATAACAGTGTTCAGCCATTGTATATTCGTCCATGCTCAATGCAGCTGCTGTGGGTACTTAGTGTCATTGCTGTGGGTACTCAGTGCCACCGGTGTGGGTACTCACTGCTATTGTTGATGGTACCCTATGTTTCCAATTCGTGCTACGGCTATTGTTCTCGACTGATTCCGATATTGATTACCAATGACAGTGCTGTAGCTACATATTGCCACTGCTATAGGTACTCAGTGCTGAAACAGTGGGTACTGAGTGTTGAAGCCATGTGTACTGAGTGCTGAAGCTGTGGGTACTCACTGTTGAAGCTGTGGGTACTCAGTGTTACTTCAGTCGGTTCTTGGTGTCACTGCTGTGGGTACTCAGCGCTGGAGCTGTTGGTTATCGATAACGTTGCTGTGGGTACTCAGCCTTAGCAGTGGGTACTCAGTATCACTACTGTGAGTGCTTAGTGCTCAAACTGTAGTTGCTCAGTGTCACTGATGTTGGTACTCAGTGCTGAAGATGTGGGTACTCAATAACACTGCTGTAGGTACTAAATGCCAGTATAATGCCACTAATGTGGTTATTCAATAGCACTGCAAAGGGTATGTGTGTCAGCACTCAACCTTACTGTATTTATTACGAGGTGTAGGTCTATGCTCAATGTAATTATTGTCAAGGTCACTGTGAAGACCTTTATTTGGTGGTATTCAGGATAGTGGTCCACCACCTCACTTCCTGTTGTCTATTTTTTTTTTTTGTTCTCCTAATATTATACAATACTATTTCAAAGCTAAATAAGTTACATTGTAACCAGCAGCATGATCACATTATTCGAGCATGGCTCTCTCTTCATATGCCAAGGTCAATGAAACAGGTGAACTCTACTTCACCTACCACATGGACCGTAACGTTCTAAAGTGCACTTTTATATATAGGCGAAGACTATATTGTAAATCCTTTACTTATTTGTAATCATACTTGAATGAATGACAGCTTGGCGATGCATCGTATTTCGTTATACCTGCTTGTCACCCAAGTTCCATTTGATGTCTTATTGCCGGATGTCGCGAAAACGCGACAAACCGTAATTAGCAGATAACTTCCAAAATTATTCTCATATGTGATTTATATTGTTTATATACATAAAAGAATGAATAATAAAGCTATTAGTATTTTTTGTAGCAAAAACGGATCACCTATTTAGTAATAATAATCAATGTAAGTAGGCTGAATTCACGAAGTCAAAAAAAATACGATGCGCGTGAGTCAAGAGAGTGTGACGTCATAAATTTCGACTTGACAACGTGACCGCTCGTACCGATACAACCGTCTGGATGTACCCAATACACAACGACCGGCAGCAGTAGGATAAATGTACATATGCGCAAATGCTATGCGCTAAATCGGTATGTCGCGAAAACGCGACTGTCGGCGTTAAGGGGTTAATATGTAAGCCCCCCCCTCTGTGCTTGATAATTATACCTAAAGTTAAAAACAATAAATACATATAAAGATCTAGATCTATCAATATAATATTCCCAAACATACTTGCATATTTTTCAATACACAAAAAAAAAAAAAAAAACGCTGACAAAATTAACATCACTCTGATTACGATTTTTATTTACTTAGATCTAGAACTAGTATTAGAATCTAGATCTAGACTCTAGAATACTCTAGATCTATCTTATCTACTACTATCTAGATCTAGTAGACTAGTATCATACCTAAAATAATTAGTCTAAAATTAACATTTCTGACTCTGCCACATAACTTTACTGCTTAAGATATTATGAATTAGATTAAACAATCAGAACTTTAGATTTAATTTAGATCTAGATCTAGTTAAGAATGTTTAGATAGTTCTTTCCTTGAAAACGTAGATCTAGATCTAACCTAGATAGAACTAGATTAGATCTACTTTAATGAATAATCAATAAAGACTTAATTTCATGATCCTTACGGCATAAAAAAAAAACCCAAAATCTGCTCATGATCTTCTAATTCGGACTTTGGCCGATCGTCCCTAGCCAGATGATCTTCTAATTAAGACAAAGGCCGAAATCAAGCAAAGTTTCGGACTTTGACCGAACTCGGGGTAATTCCACACACGGGGTAATTCCACACACTATATACTGAATACTCTCTATTTTTAATGGGAGTAAAGTTTAATTAAAAGTTAATATTCCCTGTTACTAAGAGGTGATTTCTTGTACTTTCTGATACTGTTAGAGAAGCGTTCACCTACATTCAGAGCAAGAATTTTAATTTTATCTGCATCTATATTCAAACATCCTTAGGTAAGTACAACCCCTGCACTTTTAAAAAAAATTTTTTTGTCTTATTTTTAATTGTTGTCAATTATTTATTGATTTTATGAAAGCTTAATCATTTTTGTTAATAGTAACAGTTAATGATGCTAGATTCAGTCTTTAATTTAGAACAGGAAAGCATATTTTTTACAATAGTAGGTGTGGGGCAATTCCACACACATGGTGTGGGGCAATTCCATACACTATAGTTTGGAATGTCCCATGTTGCATTTTATACTCTTTAGAGGGTTTAGCTTTTATTTTAAACCCTTTTAACTGGTTGTGACTAATTCTGTAATTCACAACTCATGATTTAATCTTAAAAAAAAACTTAAATAGTACTAGATCTAGTACTATTTATTTTTAAAAAGACTCTGCTATTAAAGTTAAGTAAAATTGCCAAAGACTTCTTTTAACTCTTTATCTATTATTATTTTTACTGTACCTATATTATTTATTATAATTTATGCAATATTTAGAGCTAAACATCCCCATAAACACATTAGTAATTAGACTTTCTAACATTTAATTTTGTATTTATTTCAGAATGGTCCACAATTATAAAGGAATAACTTCGGCCGATGACAGATGAGAGCAGAATTCAGGAGGAAGAAATTGAGGCTTTCTCTTCATCCAGTGATGAAGAGTGGTTGCCCCCATGCAAAATTGTTTCCAAGGGGAAAAATGTTTTTCACACATTTTTAAATACATGAATTTTAAAATTTTCATAATGTGTGTGGAATTGCCCCACTTGCCATGTTTTGCCAATAAAAGTGAAATATTAAAAAAATGTATTTTATTTTGTGAATTATCTCTATATTTGTTTGCCATTATATAAGTAATGCATGTCTAGTTATACCCTCAATATTATATTGTGGTATTGTTAATTTTAGATTTTTTACTATTTTTTTTAGAAAAGTAGTGTTTGGAATTACCCCGGGTTACCCTATATATATATATATATATATATATATATATATATATATATATATATATATATATATATATATATATATATATATATATATATATATATATATATATATATATATATATATATATATATATATATATATATATATATATATATATATATATATATATATATACTAGCTGCATCCCGTGCTCCGCCACGGTAAATCTTTTTAAAATATGCCAACTTTGGAACAGAACAAAACAAACAAAAACACAACACAAACACAAACACAAACACAAACAAAACACAACCACAACCACAACCACAACACAACCACAACACAACCACAACACACGGTAAATCTTTTTTAAATGTTCCAAGTTGGGAACAGAACAGAAAAAAAGAATTTTACAAGGTCTAAAAAATCATACCCTTTTTAGTATTCAAAAGTTTCAAAATTTGCATATTAATTACCAAATACTTTTTTTCTATGAAAGCAATCACAATTCCCTCGTGACAAAAGTTGTCTTTTTGCACGAAGAACAACTTCTGAAAATATGGTTGGCATTGTTTAATAAATAAAAAAGTAGTAGGCTTTTTTTGTGTAGAAAAACAGCCAAAAGTAACGAAAACTAGGTCAGGAGAGTACCATATCTGTGTAAACTGCAAAGCCGATTGTAAGCTTTGGGTGTTTCCGAGATGTAGGAAATTAAGTTTATTAGATACATTAGAAATCCAGCTTTCCAATGATGTCAAATACAATATAATGACGGATATAAAACTTTTCATAGAGAGCTTGTAAGATTGGGAAAAATTTATTATT